TTTCACAAACGTGAGTGTAGTTGAATAGTCGACAATGATACCGTTGGGGCGGTTCGGGCCTGGCGAACAATCATCCTATCTTGCCTGGCATTTGTGCTCCTTGGCCTTTCAGGGCCTTCATTTCGTCGGCATTTCCTTGTAGCAACCATAGCTGCCAACATCTTTGCACAACAGTGTCTTTACGCTGCAGGTGGCGGCCTATTACTCGGTATGACCACCCAGCTTCAAGCAACGCTACAATGTGACCCGTAATGTCATCTTTAGTTGCTTCTTTACGGAATTATAATTGCAGCAACAAAAAAAAAATTTTAGCCTCTGTTACTGGTTTTATACTTTGGGAGTTGCGCACTAGAAATGCACACTGTGATCGCAATTGCTGTTCATATGCTTTGAAACTTTGGTCATTTCATGTTCGATTCAGATGTTTTTGCATATCAAATTTCGTCACGATTACAAAAGTCCTTCTTGGTGCTTCGATTTTTTTTGCAAAAGAGTGTACGTGGACATATGGTAATCTACAACCGAAACTTAAAATGTGTTAATAAATTTAACGCTGGGAAATTGCGATTCCTATTAGACTAAGGGCCCTAAACTGGATATCGTCGAGATAGAAGAACTGTTCCTTTTCTGCAATCTACTCGACAGAGAGCGAGTCTGGTGTCATCGTCTCGATCATTACAGAGATCGACGCGTCGGAAATTTTTCCGTCAGCTGGACAGCTGCCGTTTAAGTTTCTTACTGTCGTTTTAGAGCTAAACTGAGGACGGCGGAGGTCACGGATTGTTTTTGAAAGTGTACGTAATAGATATTTTTATTTCTTATGATTAGTGAAAAACTCGAGTATTTCGCTATAGAAATAACGCATTTGATGCAGACGACTCTACATTATTTATTTATTCTACATTACCAATGCCTTAATTAAATTTTAGTGAAAATAATATATTTGGTGTTTTCCTATTTCACATATAAAGAAGGAGTGCATACTTTTAATTTGAAATTGTAATTTTTAAACTAATGTATATATTAATGTACTTAATTTCATTTTTGATGAGTACTTTATAAATTTATAAATTTTATGTTTTAAATTATAATGTATTTCCCTCTACTTTTATTTGAATTTGTAGTGTATAAAAATGTAATACATTAGACATGCATTAAAGAATATGCAGTGTATAATTCAAATTATGCACATCCTAAATTCAACATTTACATTAAATTGCTTTCAATTAAAAATTTATTTAAGTAGTTTTAACTGTACCGATATCAGTGTCAATTTCCAATAGTTTCTAGAATCTCCTGTATAAAACAAGTTAAATTCCTCTATAATTTTCGGTTAAATTCTTGTCAATATTATAATGCAAGATTTATAATTAGTTATCAGATTTTTTAATGTGGTCTAGTTTTAGATATTACATCAGTTTTCTGTATTTTTATTCAGATCTAAAAGTGCTTGGTTTGGGTTTTATGCAAAGCCTCGAGGGCTATCTGCTTTAAGTGAGGGTTGCCTTCCTGGAGGACATTCTAAGGGAAACTATCTCGTATACACGTAACACATGTAGAACACAATAAAAACGTCCATGCAGCCAGCCCGTTCGCGGGATTCCAACCTTGGACCGAATTTCCAGTGTTCAGCGATTTTACCGCTCGGCCGCTGGTGGGATCGATTTAAAAAGGGTATAAATGGGAACATGTGCTGCAATTTCTTTCACTGCATCTGTTAATATATAAAACAGATTTTGGGTGCCTTAAACTTCTATGCTTCTGGAATTTACCAATGATATGTTGGTAATGACGCCCGTGCGTCTAGCCCGTTCGCAGAATTCGAACCTCGAACCGCACTACCAGTACTCGTAGATTTTACCGCTCGGCCACTAGTGGGATCGACTTAAAAAAGGGCACAAATAGAAATATGTACTGCAATTTCCTTTCACTGCATATGTTAATATATATATATATATATATATAATTGTGTGTGTGCAAGATGATATGCTTTATGATTTAAATTATAGTTATTTCATTCTTTTTATTTTTCTTCCTATTACTTTTGTTAAAAATTTGTTATATTTTTACTCAATAGTAAATTGTCTTTTAATGCATCAAACCAAAGTTTTCTGCTTATTAGTATCTACGATACATAGTATATTTGTAGCTACGTGATAAGTATAATTCCTGAATAAATAAAATTATTGATATTATCATGGGTTGCTGAAAATAAAATTTTTTTGAATTATTATTGAATAATTTTAAAATTATCAATTTCATTAGGAATATTAAACACGCGTACGCAATGCTATATTTCAATGATTTGACTTAGACGTTGTTGCATAACCTTTTCAGACAAAATAATGTATTTTAATCATAAAATTCCTGTTAACAAATAGTTTACAAACATGTAACCTGTTAGAAAATTTCCATTCTGCAAAAGGTCATACGTAAAATTATGTTTACGTTTCTTCACATACCTGAAGTTTTGAAAAGGCAATTTTTTTCTCAGTTTAAAATGTCCATTAACGTTCCCCATTTCTCTTTACTAAATGTGCTATCCAGCAGCTTAACAGCAGCGGATTTTTTCGGAAAATTTCCCTATTTACTGGAACTCGTAGCTTTTCTTTCTACCGACATCCTCAGTAATAAACACGTGCGAAACAGCCCCTTTGACAACAAACTACCCCCTTCCCCTGAGCCTCGAGCAATGTAGAGGTGAGATAGACTGGTGCTATGCAATTAACGTCACTTCCGCACGGAATTTCCACTTCATTTTCCGCCGACGGAATTTGAAGGGACCAGACTCGCTCTCCCTTCTGCTGCCGAGTGGAAAGAGAATCCCGACTGGTTTTCCGATATCGATCTCGACCTGTGTCCAGACTAGACCCCAAGGTTAATATAATTAAACACATTTTAGGAAATTGATATCTGTATTTGAATCAAGTTAAGTTTGTTACGCTTTTCTTGAAGTTATGCAGAGAGGTATCGTGTCATTTAGAAAGGGAATGTTATTAAACATAAAATTAGCAATCTAGCACTAGCGTCTCTAAGGGCCATAGTCTGAACATTGTCGAGAAGGAAGAACCGATCTACTCGACAAAAGAGTGAGTCTCATGTCATCGTCTCGATCGGGATTCTCTTTCCACTCCACAGTAGAAGGGAGAGCGAGTCTGGTCCCTTCAAATTCCGTCGGCTGAAAGTTAACTGGAAATTCCGTGCGGAAGTGACGTTTATTGCATAGCAACCAGTCTATCTCACCTCTACATTGCTCCAGGCTCAGGGGAAGGGGGTAGTTTGTTGTCAAAGGAGCTGTTTCGCACGTGCTTATTACTGAGGATGGCGGCAGAAAAAAAATCGACTTCGAGTAAATGGTGAAATTTTTCGAAAAAATACGCTGCTGGATTTAGTAAAGAATATGGAAAAAAGAAATGGGGAACGTTAATGGATATTTTAAACACAGAAAGAAATGGCTTTTTCAAAACTTCAGGTTATGTGAAGAAACATAAACATAATTTTACGTATGATCGTTTGCAAAATGTAAATTTTCTAAAAGGTTACATTTTTGTAAACTATTTGTTAACAGGAATTTTATGATTAAAATACATTATTCTTGTCTGAAAAGGTTATGCAACAAAGTCAAATCATTGAAATATAGCACCGCGTACGCGTGTTTAATATTCCTAACGAATTTGAATCAAAAAAATTTAATTTTTAGCAACCCATGATTACATCAATAATTTTATTTATTTACAGGAAATTATACCTATCACGTAAGCTACAAATATACTATGTGTCGTAGATAAACCAATAAGTAGTGAGTAAAAATATAACAAACTTTTAACAAAAGTAATAGGAAGAAAAATAAAAAAATTAAATAACTATAGGTTAAATTATAAAACATATTATATTGCACACACACACACATATATATGTATATATATATATTTTAACATATGCAGTAAAAGGAAATTGCAATACATATTCCTATTTATACCCTATTTAAATCGATCCCACCAGCGGCCGAGAGGTAAAATCGCTGAACACTGGAAATTCGGTCCAAGGTTGGAATCCCGCGAACGGGCTGGCTGCATGGACGTTTTTATTGTGTTCTACATGTGTTACGTGTATACGAGATAGTTTCCCTTAGAATGTCCTCCAGGAAGGCAACCCTCACTTAAGGCAGATAGCCCTCGAGGCTTTGCATAAAACCCAAACCAAGCACTTTTTAGATCTGAATAAAAATACAGAAAACTGATGTAATATCTAAAACTAGACCACATTAAAAAATCTGATAACTAATTATAAATCTTGCATTATAATATTGACAAGAATTTAACCGAAAATTATACAGGAATTTAACTTGTTTTATACAGGAGATTCTAGAAACTATTGGAAATTGACACTGATATCGGTACAGTTAAAACTACTTAAATAAATTTTTTAATTGAAAGCAATTTAATGTAAATGTTGAATTTAGGATGTGCATAATTTGAATTATACACTGCATATTCTTTAATGCATGTCTAATGTATTACATTTTTTATACACTACACAATTCAAATAAAAGTAGAGGGAAATACATTATAATTTAAAACATAAAATTTATAAATTATATAAAGTACTCATCATCAAAATGAAATTAAGTACATTAATATATACATTAGTTTTAAAATTACAATTTCAAATTAAAAGTATGCACTCCTTCTTTATATGTGAAATAGGAAAACACCAAATATATTATTTTCACTAAAATTTAATTAAGGCATTGGTAATGTAGAATAAATAAATAATGTAGAATCGTCTGCATCAAAAGCGTTATTTCTATAGCGAAATACTCGAGTTTTTCACTAATCTTAAGAAATAAAAATATCTATTACGTACACTTTCAAAAACAATCCGTGACCTCCGCCGTCCTCAGTTTAGCTCTAAAACGACAGTAAGAAACTTAAACGGCAGCTGTCCAGCTGATGGAAAATTTCCGACGCGTCGATCTCTGTAATGATCGAGACGATGACACCAGACTCGCTCTCTGTGGACTAGATCGCAAAAAACGACACGTTCTTCTATCTCGACGGTGTCCAGACTACGGCCCCTTAATATCATTTCTCAGAAGTGGTGCAGCCTATCCTTTCATGGCTTTTGAATACCATTCTAGACTTTTCGCCAGAGCTAAAGACTCATATTTGGAAGCAAAACTATTTGTGTACTTACCGATAAAGCATATTTTATACAACTTTTATTGCAGAACTCGCTAATGAAATGTATTTTGCAGAAATTGTACTGTAATACTTTCTAATTAATGTTCTAATTAAAATCATTTTGTAAATCCCTTTAAACAATTTTCATGGCTAGCATTAAGTTTTTGCGAAACTTTCAGTGCACACCAATACGAAAGTTCAACTGGAAATATCCATATCCTAAAGAACTTCAGCCATCTCCTCCTCCAAAAGAAGGTTGTTATTTTATAACCTATTGAAATTTTTTCTAAAGCTTTTTGTTGTGCAAATGCTTTTTGCATGCGTGGATGAGGTTATATGATACTGGTCTTTACATACTCTCCCATTTGTGTATAGAAGCTGATCTTTTGTTATTGATAAAAATTTGTATGTTATATGATGAAGGAACGTCATAATTTGTTATTATCACTGAAGTTTAGGCGTTCAGTAAGGATTTTATATCTTAGGTGGGCGCTCTTTTATTTAGATGTTGCTACCGGTAAATTTTCGCTAGATTAACGTGAAGCCCGGTTGTATTGTAAATATGTTGTTATGATTTGAAAAGTAGAGAGATAAGTAGTGGCTTTTTTAGTGAAATAGCTCTGTATTAATAACTTAATTTGAACGGGAGAATGGCTTAAAGGGAAATTTTAATTCTTGCAATAACCACTTGCTTAAACTCTGGTTAAATATTAATTAGTGTGTCTACTTTTCTTGAGACTGATTATGTATTTTATTGCTTGGCTTGTACTTTTTAGTTAAGTTTTTCTTCGAAGTTATATGTTAATTATGTAGATAATTATTAAAGATTAAGTTTTAAAAGTTGTTTAATGCTTATGATTAAAGCATTTGATTTTAATTAATTGGTATTATGAACTTGCGAGAGAAACAATGCATTCTTAAAGTATACGGAATTGAAGTTGACTTTTCATTGTATTCATTGGCAGTTTTTGATTTTTGTAGTAATTCTTTAAAACTAAAGCTGCTAAGTAAATAGAATATTTAAATCTTTAATTGAATTTTATTACTGATTTATACTTTGATCCGTTTTTTTTTTTTTTTTTTTTTTGACATTTTTAGTTTCTTTATTTTTTAACATGATTTGTTTTTTGTGTTTCATTTTTGCATAATATGGCAGTGAAACACTTTCGCTTCTGTTAATTATTATTGAGATTTAATCAAAAATTTTTTCTCCATGAAAAGTCAATTAATTTTTAATTAATAGCAATAATTATTTTAATTTTTACTGTAATTTTATAAAAATGGCTTATATTTTAATTTTGCCCAAATATTTCTTTTAATGAATTATTTCGAGACGGTTCTTGAATTTTAATGAATCTTCGTAAAAATGGACAATTATTAATTTTATGTAGGTATTTTATTAATATTCACTATTTTTGTTAATTTTCACATCCCCCCAGGAGATAATCCAAAAACTACTTTATATATATGTAAGATAAAAAATTAATAAAAATTATGATTTAAATTAAAAATAGCCATTTAATTCCTTCTTCTCTATTCTAAAAATAGTAATGGCTTTTTCTGAACTGCATCATTTCTAGACCAATCCATATCATATGACTTACATGCTGATGACAAAGCAAATTCAGAACTTAAGTCGAAACTTTCTTTTAATAGGCTGCCGTATTGGATAACTGCACACTTTTGCCTTTAGCTCTCTTGCTGGTGGGCTGCTTTTCTTCCTATTGCAATAGTATCAAAAATGTAAATGTTCTTAAAGAAGCAGGATTAGATCATGTGTATTTGAATAAAGATGAGTATTCAATCCACCTTGGCTGCCAAGTTTTGTTTTTCAATATGGATCAACATTATATGGCACCAATATTGCTAAATTTGTTCTATTACACACACACATATGTATGTGTCTAATAAAACACATATATACAGTGTCTCACAAAAGTGATGGGACACTTGTGCTTTACTAAAGGAAACTGTAGTAAAATAAATTAAGAAAACATGTAAAAATTTTTTGTGGGTGTATTTCATACTTAAATTTAGTAACAATTATTACATAACATACATTTTCTCAAAATATTAAAATATTAATTTAATAAAATATAATTGTTTAGAACGGAGCAAAAAATGGCTCACATAAGGGATGGGACACTTACTTTTTCCATCAATATTTATCCAAAAATTTTACTTTTTAAAAGGTTTTAATATTTTGTTGGATTTCCTTTTACTTTTAAAACATAATTTAATCTTCTTGGAATGGATTCGACTAATTTTTTTTGTGATTTCTGGAGTGATTTTACCCCATTCTTCTTGAAGCACCGATTTTAATTGTTGTTTTGAAGAAATGGTGTGTTTGCGAATTCTTGATTCCAATTCTTGCCAAATATTCTCTATGGGATTTAAGTCTGGAGATTGTGGTGGTGTTTTTATTATTTCAGGATAGTTATACAGCAGCCAGAGTCTAATGTTCAAAGCAATGGGCTTGGGGTCATTGTCCTGGTAGAATTTAAAATTGTTATGAAGGGTTAAATTTTTCGTGCTGAAGATTTCAAAATTTTGATTTAAAATGTCAATATACTTGTCCTGATTCATTAGACTGTCAATAAAATCAAATAAATCATTAAATCATAAATAAATGTCAATAAAAACTGTCAATAAAGATTACCAACTCCAGTGGACGACATACACCCCCATACCATAACTCCTCTCCTCCTCCACCATCTTTTACTGTTGGCACCAAGTTCTCTTTGCGAAATTCTTTCCCTTGGTTTTCCTGGGTTTACACCAAGATTCTTCTACCGTCAGAACCAAATATATTAAATTTACTCTCGTCAGCAAATATAACTTCATTCCAGTAATCAGAATTCTTATTTAGGTTGGATTATGCGAAAGCCAGTCTGAATTTTCTATTCTTTTCACTTACGAAGAATTTTTTCCCGGCTGCTCTACCGCGATATCAAGAGATCGAATTACTCTTCTAATAGTCTCAGGATTAACAATTACTCCATATAATGCTTTTAAATCAGCAGCAACTTTAGGAGCACTCATTCTTGGATTTTTTTTTTTTTTTTTTTTTTAATATTTCGAACGATAATTTGCTTTATTCCATTGGATAGCTTTTGGTGGTCGGCCAGGTCTTCTTTTATCCTGAATCATATGATTCCTTTTATATCATTTAATGATATTGAAAATTGTTGAATGACTCAAGTTAACTGTTAATTTCAAGTTTCAGCAGTTTCTCTTATAGATTTTCCACGTTCAATATGCAAATTAATAACTAATTTTCGAACTTCAGGCAGGCAAGTTTCTTTTCGTTTAGCATTTCATTCATGGCTGCACAGAGCCAAAAAACACAAAATTCCAAAACAAACTGGAGAGAAATACTGCAGACGATTTTATAAATTATTGCTAATTGCTTTTGAGTAAAAATAAAAACCCCAAAAAATATTTTTATTGTAGTACGTAGTAGTATCTAATGGTGTCCCATCACTTATGCGAGACATTTTTTGCTTCGTTCTAAACAATTGTACTTTTATTAAATTAATATTTTAATATTTTGAGAAAATGTATGTTATGTAATAATTGTTACTAAATTTAATTATGAAACACACCCACAAAAAAAGTTTACTGGTTTTTTTAATTTATTTTATTACAGTTTCCTTTTGTAAAGCACAAGTGCCCCATCACTTTTGTGAGACACTGTATATATATATATATATAATCTTAAATTCACTTAGTTTGAAAACAAGTTATTCTAATACTTGCGCAATAGCTGCAAAGTAATGTAATAATAATTTATTTACTAAAGAAATATTGATTATATTATCTCATATTAATTTTTTTAAAAGGCCTATTTCATAATCTGTAGCCTATCAAATAGCTCTTTGACCAGGAAAATTACTTTTTTATTTTTCTTGGCTAATCTTATAATATGGTAACAGGTAGTTTGGCGACATTTTGGTAAGGCGATAAAGGTTACTAGCTAGGACTTTAGCAGTGTACATGGATAAAGTCAAGAGTGTGCACAATGCCATTTTTGTGCAATTCTGGGATGTTTTTTTAAGTGAAAATAGGTCGACGTGTACATTGATGATACCGTGTATGTGCAATTCTTAAAAACGCGGCAAGCAGTGGGCGATTCTGCACTTTCTCCCAATTCCACACCTAATCTTCGTCATGATTAAGCACTTTTGTTCCATAAAAGTTCTAGCATAAGCGTAATTCGGTTAGCATATTGTTGGAAAAAAATGTTGAGTAAAAAAAAAAAAAAAAAAAAAAAAAAAAAAAAAAAAAAAAAAAAAAAAAAAAAATGCCTTTACTTTTTGTGAAAAAAACAAAAAAACCGCGTCCAAAAAAAAAAAAAAAAAAAAAAAAAAAAAAAAACTAGCAGGTTGCTGTAGCAGGGTTGGTCGCCAAATTTTCACCAAAAAATCGCCATATTACCATAATCCAAAGATTAACCTTCTTAATGTCTTCCTCGTTCCAACATGACAATTAGCCAAAAATTAATTAATTTCCATTCACTAGTATATTCAAAATTTAACAAACGTTTTCACTTAGAACTCCGCAACAAACATCCCTCAAGCATTCCTAGTCCCTCCCATGCCCCATAAATTACTTCTCACAAGTTTCGCCGCCTGAAATAATTCAAAGCCCTCGTTGCCGATAAGAAAATTCGGACACACAACCCTTCTGAGTAAGACACCGAAGAAACCACTTTGTTCACATCCCACTAGAAAGAACGTAAGTTAATTAATGATTTTTTTGGCCTTTTATATATTCATGTACATTCCCTTTTTTTATTATATATTCTATATATATTAATTTTTCAATTTTTATTATTTGATTTGTTTTTGCAAAGATAGCATTATGTTTCTTAATTTTCTAATATTTATTTCAATTACTTTGAGTTCTATTTCATCATTCCAGTTAAGATTACCAATGTTTAATTTTTATACAAATAGTTTTAAATTAAAATGCATAAAACCGAGGGTGTCAGGGAACAATTACTCAAGTATTTAATCAATTTTACTACATAAATTGCTTTTCACTCAAAATTTGTATTAGCGAAAGTGCTTAATTCAGAAGAGTTCTTTAGTACTCTACTTTGGTTCTAAATATCTTCACTTTACGGAACTATTTGGCCTAACTTAATTTACCATTTTGGCATCGGCATTATTACTTGAGTAAAAGACAAAACACCTTCGTATTTATTAATTATTGTTCACTAAACGGGAGTTGGTTTGTTCCCCTTGAAAAGTGAACTAATTTCTGATCAATAGCAATAATTACTTGCTTTTAATTTAATTTCTTTTTCAAAGTTTGAATTTTTGTTATTCATGATTTACTTCAAGTCCCCATAAAACATTTTTAATAATTTACATTCAAGTTACTTTAAAACAATTTTCGGAATTAAACTTCCTACCTATGGGTTCACTCTTTTTAGATACTTCTACTAAAATTAATATTAGGACATAATATAATCAATATTTCTTTAGTAAATATATATATATATAATTGTTTTTCACAAGAATATAGTAAAGTTAAATTTAAATAATTCTCTTGCACCATTGCTGCAAGGAATGAAATTTGAATTTAACGAATATTCTATTGTATAAAGATAATTATTGCTGCAAATTAATTTAAATTGTAAAATAGTTCACAGCAATAATAAATTTTATTTTTTTTCAATTAAAATTTTCTTAATTAAATTTTTATTTTATATTAGCTTTATACGAATAGAGAATGTTTGTTAAATTCAAATATATCTATATATAAATGTATATATATATATGTACACAAGGGTAAGTCAATAATTATCTGCAATTGTAGCTGTAAATTTTGTTGCAATGCAAATAGGAAACTCATGTTAACATCATTTTTCAATATTGCCCCCTTGCTTTTCAATGCACTTAATCCATTATTGTACAAGCTTCCCGATGTTTTCAGAAAAGGTTTTTGGCTGAGCAGCGAGCCACTCATGCGCCACATTTTTCACTTCTTGTTTCGAGGTGAATTGACGGCCCTAATACCTCTTTGAGTGGACCAAAAAAGTGGTGATCAGAAGGGACAAGATCAGGACTATACACATGAGGAGCTATTACTTCAAACTTTAGTTTCTGAAGCGTTTCAGCAGTGTGGGCAGCAATATATGGATGGGCATTGTCATGCAGTAACACACCACCTTTCGACAGCAGTCCTTGGTGTTTGTTTAGAATTGCAGGCTTTAGTCTGTCAGTAAGCATCTCACTGTAGCGCACACTGTTTATTGTTCTGGCACTTTCCTGATAATGTCCCAGTACTGGGGCTTGTGCATCTCAAAAAAGGGTAAGCATTAGTTTTCCTATGAATGGTTGAGTTTTGAACTTTTTCTTGCTGGGCGATTGTGGGTGTTTCTGTTCCACTTACTCTCCAGCTTGTAATGATGAATGTATGTTTCATCACTAGTGATGATCCTGTCTAAGAAGCCATCAAATTTGTTACAATAGTGATCCAAATGTTTTTGGCAGATGTCCAAGTGTATTAATTTATGCAATACCATGAGTTGTTTTGGAACCCATCTTGCACAGTCTGTTGTGGATTATTTTAAAGGCAGAATCATGACTAATTTTCAGACGATGTACTAGTTCATCAATAGTCACCCTCTCTAACATAACCATGTCATGTGCACGTTCAATATTGTTATCATTTATGGCTGTCGATGGTCATCCTGCTCTTTTCTCATGCATAACACTTGTGCAACCATTTTTGAATTTTTCTATCCATTCATAGACACTCCATTGCAGCAAGACACTTCCTATGTTGTGCCAAAAGTCTTTGATGGATTGCGGCTCCTGATACATCTTCTGACCACAAAAACTGGATCACTTCTTGTTGTACCTGTTTAGTGCAAACTTCTAATGTAGAAGTCATCATCTTTCTGCAACAAAAGTAAGATAAATGGGGAAATTAGGATCAAACATTCGTAGCATGACCACAACAGAGCATAACAATAAAATAAATGAGTTGAATAGAAGTTTTTAGAAAGCTTTTATTTGGAAGTAATTATGAGCTTATAGTATTAAGAAGGCTGTAATTATTTACTATGTAAGTCAGCTTATAAAGTGGTAGCCATTAAATAAAAATTTGCTGATCTGTATTATTATTGCATATTTAGGATAAATAGTAAAGGATTTTTTTATAAGAATCATTAAATACTTTTAAATCAATTTTGATATATATTTAGAAAACTGTTGTACTGTATGTATGAGAGAAATTATATTCATCCCCAGTTTTAGATATTTTAATGTGATGCCAAATTTATTTATTTAACCCAGTATTTCTTGGTTGTTCAAATTCTCTGAAAACTGTGTATTGCCATGGTGAAACTTAGTCTCCATTGCTTAAATAGATAGAAGTTACACTTCAGGTTATCTGAAAAGAATGTGACAACTTTAATAATTAAGGAAACTTTCTTGATTTAAAAGCAGGTTTATCTTGAGATTCTATCTCGTTGCTAAAATTCTATCCTTTATCTCTTCCATAAACTTATACTGCTTGTCAGTGTCATATACATGATGCAGCAGTCTTGCTAAAATGTCTTTAATGGAATTGCAATTTAGTAAACAAGCAGGCCACGCTAACTACTTGCATCTAACACTTAACAGAGCACTGCTACATGGTATTACTGCTGTGTGTGGTGGCTTTATCTTGCTCATAGGTGGCTTTATCTTGCACATTTAACTGAAAGTAAATAAACTGTGGTGTAAGAAGATTGTATAATGTTTTAATATATTGAAAATTAATTATTTATGGAACTGTGAAGCCAATTAAGAAAATGAATGCACTCCACCCACTAGACTTTCTTGAAATTTTGTTGATTCACAAAGATTTATCTTGTGTGTTTAAGACTTTAAATGCAATCGAGTCCTTCCTAATGCTTTTAAAATTCAATTAACGTAATTTTTCATTTTTTAAAATTATTTTTGCCAATGGCATAACCTCCTCATTCATTTTACTGATGCAGAGTATAAATATGCCCTTTGTGTCCACTGCTTTCAAGTCTGCAGAGTTCTTTGCTCTTGATGAAGAGGGACCTGTATATGTTTGCTCTCGAAATTGATGAGTTCTTGTCTAAATCTATACTAAACATAAGGCAGTTGTTCTGCTAATTTTATATTTCATAAAGTAATTTAATTTTATTCTAATGTGGTAACATATGAAAAAAAAAGTGTATCTGCAGTGAAACTGCTTCCAAAGCAATATGTATGCTCTTAAACAAAGAGAGTGTGAATTAATGTACTATTTACAGGGTTGCAACTCAAACAGGAGTGTGAAATTCTCTGACTTTTCCAGGTGTGTTTTAAGAAAATTACAGTCTATCCGCGTAGTGCACGCTGGCTGTGCTGAGAAGTAAATTGATTATGGTACACTTGAAAACACAAAAATTTGTCAATTACATGTGACTTAACCCCAAAGCATTGCAATTATAACTATAATAGGAGTTATTCAGAAGTCATCAGCGTTATATTTTCAAATTTTCACGGGACTAGTTCCGATGGTTTTACTGAACCATTACGTTTTTGCAGCTGAGGATGGTGATTCAGTAAAACCATCGAAACTAGTCCTGTGAAAATTTGAAAATATAACGCTGATTTTTGTTGTTTGACTTCTGAATTAGTATTTGTTCGGCGTGTTATTGTGTCTTAATAATAGGAGTTGTTTTCTTCACTGAAGATTGAGATTAGAATCTGCACAAACTGGATTAAAATATGTCTTTTTTTGCAGACATTTTACAGCTAAATGAAAGAAAGAAATCTATTTAATGATATTTTAGAATAAATTCATGTATTTTATATTTATTTAGCAGCATACATAAGCAAAAGGTATTTGCATTAAATTTCGGGATGGTATGTCATCATACTGCTAGAATTAATTTCAGCAGTATGCGAGAGAAAATTGCCTGAAATTTGAAAGTATCATTAACTAATAAGAAATAAATTTATAAAGAAGAACCCACATTAAATGATACGAATAACTTTAAAATAAAGTTAATTTCTTAAAGATTAAAAATTGAATTACAATAATCAATGATATTTTGGCAAATATAAATGGTAAACATTAAGTGGTTAGCCTAGATGATGGATTGCTATTTTTTTTTATTTTACTGCAAAATGACAAAGAAGGCATTTATTAAAAAGGAAAAAAAAAAGGTTTAAAAGATTTTGTGGTAAAATTCAAGTATACGGTATGGCTTTGGCACGATTTTAAAAAGTGTTGCCCTCACCAAATTGAGCTGTATACTGCTCATCATATAATGTCACCAAATCCCATGTCTACCATATATAAGAATTAAACTGATCTTGTTTTATACAATGAGAAGGTATTTTCTTTCATTCAACATCTACACATGCGCATAGGAATTTCTCAATTCTGAAGGCTATTGGAAACTTGCTTTGCCTTTCTAAAATCCGATCTGATGAGAACTGCAAAAATTGGCTCTGTGCCAACTGCCTGAATAATGGTCATGCAATACATAATTCACCAAGAAAGTGATTTCTCCAAACGTTGGCATAAAAATTGCTTTGGGGGGGTGATTGTCGTATGTAATTCCTTGACTTTTCTAGCTTTTGACTAAAATATTTAAATTCCCTGAATTTTTTGTTCAGTTTTCAATGCCCTAATTTTTCACGATTTTTCAGGTTTTCCAGGTAGCGTGGCAGCCTTGTATTTACCAAAAAAAAAAAAAAAAAAAAAAAATCTTCTGCAGTGAGGTTTGCCTTTCAGAAACTTAAGCATGGCAAATATAATGGCAATTTTTCTTATATCTATACAAAAATTAAATTTTGTTATATACTTTGCTTGAAGAAACTAATCTACTTTATTCTTAAAATTATTGAATATTTCATGTGCTCTTCAGTGTCCTATATTATAATAAATGTGAAGAATCTTTGCTAATTTTTGTTTTAGTATACATCAATAGAATAAATAAGATACACTACGAGGTTAAATTTAATTCATTAAAATATCTTAAACTTAGTGCAATCATTAACATGCAAAATGTGTGAAGAATAATAGACTGGGCTTTGAAGGAACAATCTTTTAATTCATACTCTCTCTTTTTATTTCAATTTATAGAATTTAAAATGTGATTAAATTGCATCTGCATGTATTCATCATCACTAGTTTTTTTAATGTTTTGTTTTAATCTATTAATTTATTTATTAATGGTATGTATAATTGTATCTTGTATTTACAGCCATCAATCCTGATAATATTGTAACACCAGAAGAACCTCTAAGTGCAAATGATGTATTCAATGGTGAATATATCAATCGAAATCCTCGTAATCTGGAACAGATGCTTTTGGAAATTAAGCCTAATGGATACATCATTGATGCTCCTGATGTTGTTTACTGGAATAAGTATGTATTTTTAAAATAATTAACATTTCAATCTCAGTTTTTTATATAAAATAGACATTGTAAAGGAGATGTGGTATAAGATTTATATTATGTAAATGTATTTTACTTCTAATTCTTTCTTAATGCATTTTGTAAACTTATAAAATAATTTTTAAAAATTTATTTGGCTGACAAATATTTTAATTGCTTTGATAGTTAGAAAACAGTCCTTGTCCCCACCTCACCCCCAAAAATGTGAAATTTTCTGTATTCTTTATTTCTTAGAGTTCTGGTAAGATAAATCCTTTCCTTTCATGCCCTTATTCTTTTTTTTTTTTTTTTTTTTCTCTCTTTCTTGACTATTATTCCTCTAAATCAGGTGGTCTACAAACATCTATGTAATAGCATTTATGTTCTCCGAGTTACAAATTTAGAATGAGATGTAACATCATTACAAGCAATGATGATACTCAAATTGATCAAATCGAAAAATAATGATGACGATCAAATTTACAATGAAATGTAACATCATTCTTATTCGTCATCTTAGTCTTTAAATGTGTGGAGAGGAGAGGTTGTACAGGGTTCGTACGGTCCTTAAGAGTCCTTAAAAGTCCTTAAGTTTTTTGGAATCGATTTTTGGTCCTTAAAAGTCCTTAATTTTGACCAAAAGCGGCAGAAGGTCCTTAATTTTAATCATCTGAAATTTCTGTCTGTTTTTATGACTGTCATTTTGAGTGTGAATTAGCATTTTGCAGGAATATTTTTGGCGATTCACTGACAAATATGGCTATTTTTTTAATGGGTTCATGAGGTATAATTTGTTCCTATTTGTAATATAAATAATGGTGGGATACTCGAGTTTCTGAACAAGAAGTGAAACATAAGCATTTCAAAATTATTTCATTTTTTGTAATGAAGAGCTCTCAAAGAACTTTCCACTTTTGGGGATGTGAATTCTTTTATTAAACGGTTCTAAATTTGGCGATTATCAACATTTTGGCGATTTTAAGATTGGTTTCTATAGAAAATTTTTAATTCCGAGATCTGGGAATTTTTTGACGATTTTTTTTGTTAAATTTCATTAAAATAATGGTAATATATTGGAATTATATTTAAGAAATAATATTAAAATAAAGTATTTTTATTTTTCTTTGTCATATTATATAGTTCCATTTTGGCCATATATTGTACAATTTTTTTAATCTGAAAAATAAGCAAGGAATAATGCTATAAAGCACAGTTTACAAAACAGTTTTTAGCAAAAGCAAAATAGCTATGTAATTAATTAAAAATGTCTTTTTAATTTTTTCATGGTAAGAATTTTTTCCATTTCTCAGAATGATCAGAATTCTCAGAAAATGCATCAGTTTTCTCTATAAAATTGATTCACACTTTTTTCCTCCGATTTTTTTTAAAAACATTTCTGGCTTTTTGCTGTTACAGAATTGGTAGGGGTAATTTTTTTTTAGGATTTTAGACATTGAAGCTTGGAAAGTTTAGAAAGATTTTAAGGCAGATTTATAGACCCTCGATTCTAAAAGATTCTAGAAAAATGTGATAAAATGAAGGTTTCTGGAGTGTAAGACAAGTATGTTTCTGACCTCCACTTTCTCTTTGCATTAGTTGTGTCAGCTCTGATAATTTGTAATTATTAGTCTTTCCATTACTGCTGCTGACATTTGAATTTGTTATGACAATAGAGTTACTGAACCAGATTAAATTGAAATTAAATTCTATAGTCTTTGACCACTAGTTCATATTTTTAGTTTGAATTTGACTCTTCTTGTTTAATTATATCACCACAAACTGTAAATGATTTTGTTTGCGTAAGAACAGGTCTATATGTTCCAAGTTTTTTTTTTTTTTGAATAAGAAGCTTATTTAAACCTTTATTTAAATTTATTATCTGATTTATAGTTACTTTCAGACATAGTGATAATTTGTTTCACGTCTGTCGGGGGGGGGGGGGTGTTGGACTAATTAACTTTTACCAGATCAAGTAAGCCCTCATAGGTAGTGCATTGTGGAGAGGTTAGCAGTTGGGAGATAAAACACGCAGAAACTAATGAGAACATTGTTTTGCATATTCAGACAAATTTCTAATTGTTAGAAAAATCGATATAAATTAGCCAAAATGTCTGGGCAGGCCTTCAAATTAAAAAGACGCATAATTATTTTGTTTTGTAGATTTTAATGTATAATTATCCTAATATTGTTTAAAAATCAATGTCATAAATTGCATATATTTTAAACTGTGAAATTTTATAAGATTGTGATATTAATAGGGTTTTTTAACAAATATTATTCTGGAATTTTCGTTTGGCTGGCGTCAGTCCGCCGAACCAACAGTACTAAAGTTAAAAAATAAGTATAGTCTCAATGAAATGTGCTCAAATGTAGTTTTAATGAAATTTATTGAAACATTCTAAACAAAAATATGGCTTAGCTTTACACATATTACAATATGAAACAACTATTTTGGTTACATTTTTGGCTATCTTGCATCCAAATAGTTTTGAATTGTCATCATAACATTTCGAACAATACTTTCGGACTTTATGTGAGTCTCCTTCCTTTTTGTATAATTTATGAATAATTTAAGTCAACAATATTGCACCGCTTGATCGCAATATTGCCACCGGCTGAACAGAAAGGACAACAAATTCGGCGCCGGGCTCAACGTGTTAAACCATTACCGTGGTCACAAGGTAAAACACAAAAATATAAAAATTCATATGAAACTTACTCTTTGCATCTAGTGAGACTTAATGCAAAACAACTTATCACCGCTAATGCTTTAGTGGCCTAATAGAACCTTAAATTATATTAACTGAGTTACAGCCCCTGGAACTCTACACGAAGCTACGACACTAACAGTGTCAGACAGTCCGTCAGCTAACTTTCAAAACTTGCTAACTATGCCTACATCAGGCCTTTCAGGTTTTTGTTCTGATTCAGCAGGTCTCTCTCTAGGAGCAGGAGTGGTGACAACAGCCAGTCTTTTGTTAAGAATCATGCTGATTATGATTTTAATGTTCATTATTAACCTATGCTGCTTGCTTTGACATAAAATGTACTTACTATTTACTGAACCTCTAGACTGAGCAAGTAGTGTGTGACAAAATGAGACATTAAAAAAAAAAAAAAAAAAAGCTAACTGTTAGTAAAATGTAACTAAAATGTCACTTATCTTCTTTCAGATATTTCCAGTTATTATGAGTGTAAAATATTTTAATGCTACTTGATAAATTTCATAATATTTAATTTTATTCTCAAATGTATTAATAATTATGTTAATTAAGCTATGTTTAATAATAATGCAAAGCTACTCACATTCAGGCATAGATATAATATTTTTAATTGAATTTAATCAGTTTCCATTTGCTCATAGGTCCTTAATTTTTTTCATTAATGGTCCTTAAAAGTCCTTAAAAGTACTTAATTTCCTTGTGCAGAAATGCATACGAACCCTGTTGTACCCAAATCAAGTAAGTATCAGTTTTTACACTACCAGGTGTAAGAATATCATAAAGTTTTCAATCTGCATTATCCTTTTATTCTAAAGGACTGTTGATCAAACAGATATCAGGTCCCCTAAAACATCATTTGAATCAGGAACAAGTTCTATAAAGTACAGAAGTTGCAGTGGTCTTTCAATCTAGCTTCCACTAGAAAGTCTTACAATGCTTTTAACTTTCTCATCACACATCCAGTGTGTGTCTCTTGAAACCCATTTTTCATAACACCTTTTTTTTTATTTCGAATGCTAATCCGATCCTATCTGTTCTTTATGCTGGCTTTACAAGTTTACAAGTTCAGGGGAGACAAAATATGTTTCCATAATTTTAAAATATTCCATCTGTGTGAGCTTTCTGGTTATACTGTATTTAGGGATATCTAATTTTGGCAGGTTTATGTTACGACTTTTTATTTTAAGAGAAGGATTGCTTTTCTGACTTGCAGAACTGACTAAGTGTTGAAAGACATTTTCATAAGTAATAAAGTCTTGAGTTTAGTATTTAAGTTACATTTTTAACTTTTGTTTTATTGCTTAAAATGTTTTCCTTCCATTCCTGATATTATTATTTCAGCATCTAATTAATATAAACATAGTCAAAGCTTCATGCTATTTATTTCATTTAGTTGAGTTTTTTTTTTTGGGGGGGGGGGTCCTAAAACTCATCAATTCTTTAATAATGTAATATTATTATTTTCATTTATTTTATTAAAGAGTTTAGTTTCTAATCCTCTAATAGTCTGTCATTTTTGTTTCATTTTAAAATTACAGATGCATATTATGGTGGTATGAATATGATATCAATTAAAATAAATTTTGATATATAATTAAATACCAATTCAGATTTGAATTCATTTATTCACTGGTAGTTAAACAATAATAAAACAAAAGGCTTTCAAAGTTCTTTATATCTTATAATTCTAATAAGCTAAATGCTTAGTGTAATATTCATAAATTCGCAGGACTGGATTTGAAGTTTTAAATATAGAATCTTTATCTTCAGCTGCAGAAGTGCAAAATGAATATTACAAAAATTCTTGTTACCTTAGTCCTACATTAATGTTGATAGCTTATCTAATCAGCAACCTTCAATTCAAGAGGTCTTAGACTTTGCAGTGCTTTTCTATATTTGATTAAAGGTGGTATATCATCACTTTCAACTCTAACACTTTTATTGCCAGTTTCAGTTTCTGAAGCTGTTTTGAAATTTTTTATATCATAAACAGTTTTTTTATATGTTGTCTCAATGTTCTATCTGTACTTCTCTGATTAATGTCTAAAACATTGGCTATAGTTTGCAATTCCTCCGAGCTTCTTTTAAATCAATTTTTTTTTAATATTGTGTTGTGAAAAACAGTCTTCCATACACTGACTGCAATATGGATGGCTATTTGCAAAGATATTGAATTGGTCATCTTTTATGAAATGTATACATTTTCACAAAATTCAATCTTGTTTATTTGGGGGGATGCCCTTTTTTGTTTTTCTGAAATGACATTTT